ATATATATATAATAAAAAATAAAATAAAAACTGTTTTAGAAAAAAATGTTTTTATTTTTTTTAAGCACCTTTTTTTAAAAAAAAAATAAGTTCTTATTTCATTATTTATCTAAAATAATTCCTTTTTTTTTTTTTCTTTTTGCAATGTTACTGTATTAACCCTTTCCAAATGAGTAAAAATGATGAAAAGAAATTGGATGATCATAGTGAAACGTTATATAAAATTGAGTGGTCATGATGAAATATTTTTATAAAAATTGGGTGGCCATAGTAAAATAAAATCAAAATTGGTGGTCATGGTGATAATAAATATAAAATTGGGTGATCATAATGAAACAAAATCAAATTGGATGGCCGTGGAGACATAAACAAAGTTGGGTGGTAAGTGGTGAATTTAACTTGAGAACAAATTCTCTAGATTAGGCCATTTCATTTTCTTTTCTCTTGACCCTACAAAATATATAACTAAAGCAATCAAACTAGTAGATATATATGTTCGATCCTATGTCGAAATTGAAGATGTACATGTCTGATCAAACATGGTGTCAATTGACTACTTTCAAGGTGACTAGCTGACAACATCAGTCATCCTTGATTGCTAAGTTGAATGACCTAATCCTGCTTGGAGAGAATTCCTACTTGGAGACAATTCTTGGGGAGATCAAACCTAGCAAATTCGGTCCATGATTGAGTTGTGTTGGATCTCAAGACTTGGAATGAGGAAAACACTATATTCTGTACGTCTTGATAAGATCATTACAATTTTAGAAAGTCCATTTTGAGACGGAAAATCATATGTGACATTAAAGTTTCATTAATGTAATCCACCATTTGTGATACTCGTGTCCACATGGATTAATTGCTAAAATATGAGAAAATATTTTTATCATCCTAAGCATAATTTTTGAAATGAAATGTCAATGCTACACATGATTTTTATTAAAATGGACGATGGTTTAAAATAGTGGTAAATTGAAACAAGTTCTAAAGTCGTCAAATTGAATAATATGATTCAAAGATCAGTTATAATTAACTCCAACTCCTTACAATCCATCTAATCCAAATATCTAATATTTTATAAGATAAATACTTGAATGTGACAAAATTATTTGAAAATTGGCTAGTACATTATGTCGCATTACTTCTCTGCCAATCTGTCAACGTGACATGTCCCATATTAAAACTCACAAATTCCACCATTTCGCCCACTTCACACCAACTATTTCCAGCCACCCCATCTCACCCCACCCTAACACATATACATACACAGTATATATTAGTACATATTCTTAGTCCTTGTATGAAATGGAAGCAAAGTGTCAAGAACAAGAACCTCAAGAAAATGATGTTGATTCTCCTCTGTCTGGTGATGAAGCAACTGAAGGAATTTACGAGCCATCCCCGAAGAAAAGGTCTGATATTTTGTTTCTTCAACATTTCTTGGTCAGGTAAGCGAAAATCCTAGCTCCGCCACTGCGAGTGAGTATATATTTGAATTTTTGTGTAGTAGGAAAGAAGCAAACAAGAGGGTGGTGACAGTACCAATTGGCGACGGCGGCCGGAGTAAAGGAGAGGTGTATCCACCGCCGGATTCTTGGTCTTGGAGAAAATATGGACAAAAACCTATAAAGGGTTCACCTTATCCGAGGTAAAGAATTGTTATATTTCAACTATTTTGGTATATTTTCTTGTTTTAGCCGCCGGCCTCCGGCGAATTAGGTGGCAGGGCATGATGTTATTGAAAAGAGTGGGGGTATATTATTATATTGGCGGCTTTCACATTGACATTATTGAATGCGGTCATTGATTAGAGGTCGAAATTTGTTTAATCTTTAAGTTTTTGGTATATTGAAAAAAGAATTTCATAGGAGTTGTTCGGCAAAGCTTTTGATAAAGAGTAATGTTATTCATAGTGAAGATTGTCAGTAGTCGCCTCATGTGGCATACACTTCGCAATTTGGTATTTGATACATAGATATGGTAGTTATTTTTTGAATTATTTATCAAATGAAAAACCGCCAAGTATACGCCATATAGGGCGACTGTCGGTAATCTTCACTGCAAATGGCATTATTTTTTGATAAAATTCTACTCACATGCCTCCATTTATATAGGTTTGCTTTGTTTTTCACATGAATTAAAAAATCATATTTAATGTTATTGAAAAAGTAATTTTTGCCAAGAAATTTCGTAGTTTATCCCTAATTAATTTTCAACAACTAGTAGTAAATTATTGTTGGAACTAGTAAAAAATTTGCAAATTGATTTCAAAAAGTAGACAAATTATAGAAAAATGTGCGTGTATTTGGATGATTTTGAGAAGTAGGCAAATTAAGTGAAACAATTGATTATAACTAGAAAAATTAAATAATAGTATATTAGTAAAAAGACAGAACAAAATATTTTAAACTAAGAAACATGACTATGTATTTGGAATAAGAAAAAAGAAAAAAAGAAAAGAAAAGCAAACTAAGCCTATATCAATGAGACGGTATGAGTAGTAGATTTTAATTGAAATTGATGTAATGTGTGGTTGAAAGTTAATTAAAGTTTTGAATCTCGTAAAATGTTTGATTAAATTAAGAGAGATGCTGCATATACACAGCCCCTTCACATGAAAGGGGATCCACGAATTTTTAATCATTGTGGATGTACACTCTAGTGTACAAGGAGCATTTTCCTTAAATTAATATTTGAAATTATTTTTTTTCCCCACATAAGCACTTAATAATTTTAAATTGATTGGATAATTTTGTGAGTTCATATTTAGAGTTAGAATAATGTAAATGCGATGGCATACTGAACCAGACGAGACGTGCGATAAATCGTATTCTATGTTTCTCTTTTTTAATCATGTCCGCTAGGATGTCATTGTCCATTTTTGGATTAAATAAGGTTCGACTGGCATTATTTTAATTTATTCTTCAATCTTCACTATATATTGCTTGCCAACCGTTTTGTCACGTTTTGTTCGCTCATTCCCTAATTTGCTTGTCGACAATTATGTGAAAACACGAATATCTCATAGGACTGAAGCTGCCATAGGACAAATGGGGATGAACTTGTATTGCTCACTTCACACTATGTTAATATGCGCCACAAGACTTCCAATTATACCAACATGATAAAACAATATTAATCTAAAACAAAAGGCAAGACTAGGTGAAGTTACGGTACAAATTTCTCTCGATCATGTCCCAAAACGATAGGGTTTTCTCGAGCAAAAATTCAAGGATCGTAAAATGAAATTGACTTCTCATGGGTACTAATAGTAGAGAGTCTAAAGACAATATGTTTGTATACATTGAGCAATCTAGAATCTTAATATTTAATTGATCGCACTCCATAGGCAAATCCGTGAGGGTCAGTTCATTCGATTTGCTTTTGACACTGGAGACATTCGAATATGGTTTCAATGCCTTTGGAAAGTTGGCGATTGGCCTTTTAGTTGCATAATACGGCCTAACAAGGGCTCGGCGTATATAGTTGATAGTGAAGGTAGTCCATGTTTTTCGAGATGTTTGGAAGGATGCAACAACAAGAAAGATATATGGAGAGAGGGAGACGTCGAAGACTTTAAGGAGACGATCTAGGCGGATCCAAGAGAGAACCTGGGTGGTCGATGGCACGGCAGGGTTTAGTGGACAAAGTCCACGAGAAAATATATTATTCCGAAACATAAAATTGTTTATAAATTGGCTCCTAATAAGAATTTGATTAGAATAGTTCTCTGTATTACTTTCTAGTTGTCACTGAATTTCATTGTCTTGTGCTTTTGTGAAAACTATGCATTAGTGAATATTGTGCTTTGTGCCCAAATATTGCATTTTCTTGGGATTTTGTAGTTGTTTCTAAGTAATTTAACGCATTGCAGGGGATACTATAGGTGTAGCAGCGCAAAAGGGTGCCCAGCTAGAAAACAAGTAGAGCGGAGCCGCCTTGAACCCATCAAGCTCCTAATCACCTACTTTTGTGAACATAACCACCCTCTCGTAGCCACCACCAAGCACCACCACCACCACCACCTCTCCACTGACTCCAACTCCACCTCCACATCACTTCCAGCCAAATTTCCTCCGGAGGAATGTGCCGTCTTTGCTAGCCAACCGGACTTGGAGCCAGCCGATAATAGCTTTTCTGAGCTTGCCGGAGAGCTTGGGTGGTTAGCCGACCTGGAATCCACCGTAATGGACTGCCCTACCCTTGTGGGGCCTTCATGGGCTCATTCGGACGTGGAAGTCTTCATGCCTATTGGCGAAGAGGATGAGTCTTTATATGGTGATCTCGGGGACTTGCCGGAGTCCTTGGTGGTCCTCCGGCGGCGCGGTGTAGAGACACCATGTTGCGAGGGCACCAGATAATAGAAATGTTGACAAATTTCCAATGTAATAGATTCAAAGTAAATATATGTGAAGATCACATTTTCATTTTCCTCCTTCCATGTACCGATTTCTTGAAAAAGGAAGAGAAAAAAAGGGATATTTTTAATTTTTGTACATTTTAAATTTACGTAAAAATAATCAGATATTGCATACAGATTGCCTTACCAAACGAGCCATTTACGGATTATATTCAAGTAAACCATTTCATCTAGGATTAGATAGAACAGAAGCCTGTGGTGGCTCAGAAACCACTGCGGGAGGAACTAGTACAGGATGTGATAATGCATGAGTGAAATAGTAATTGATATTCTCTTCCTCAACTTCCATTACACCTTCTAAAACTTTCAATATAATCGACATTGAAGGCCTTATCGTGTGATCGTCCTGCAAACACCAGGCCGCGATCTTGATCATTCTTAATACTTCTTCCTTATGATTCATCATCATTTCTTCATCATAATTTTCAATCAGGTCGAGCAATTTGTTCTCTGTTGCTTTTTCTTGCAGAAGTTTAAGTAAATGTGCAGTGGATTCTGAACGCGTCCCATCAAAATTTCTTCTTCCGCAGACTATTTCAAGAAGAACAATTCCAAAACTATAAATGTCGACTTTGATTGTGATTCTTAGAAGTTGCCATTCTGGAGCAATATATCCAGGTGTTCCTCTCATTGTTGTTTGGATTTGGCTTTCATCTCTTTCCATAAATTTGCATAACCCGAAATCAGAGACCTTGGCGTTGAAATTTTCGTCCAAGAGTATGTTATGTGGCTTTATATCGAGGTGAACGATTTTTTGATGACATTCTTCATGTAAATAAGTTAATCCTTTCACTATATCAAGCACGATTTCTTTCCGGGTTTGCCAGCTGAGATGATGTGACGATGATCTCTTGCCCGTGTAGAAAATCCAATTATCTAATGATCCATTCTTCATGAATTCATAAACCAGAAGTCTGCAATTTTTTTCAGCACAAAATCCTATCAATTTCACCAGATTAAAATGGTGGATGCTTCCAATCGATTGAACTTCAGCTAAGAACTCCTTTGTTCTGTTGCTCAGATTATCCAATCGCTTCACTGCAATATCAGTCCCATCACCTAGCCTTCCCTTGAACACAGTTCCAGACCCCCCGCCTCCGATCTTCTCCTTGAACTCCTCAGTTGCCAATCTTAGTTCTTCATACGAGAACCTCATTGGCAGCCCTGGAATTTGTCCTATGCATTCCTCATCGTGATCAATATTATTTCTTCTTCGAATCCATGACAAGATGAGAACAATAAAGCATAAAATGACAAATGCACCAGTACATGACCCAGCTATTGTTGCAGTATTGTTTGACTTTTTTACAGATGGTGTCGACAGTGGCGCTAGTTCTGGTACACCATTAGGAATCTGTACCTTAATATTCGTTCGATATGCAAAATCAGTACGAGGAAATGTGGATTCTCTGATGGAGAGGATCTTGTCTGGCAAAAAACAATAACCGTCGTCTGTAATGTTTTGATAACTGAAAAAGGCGGCACCACACGAGCAATTCTGCAGGCAGGCCTGTTTGCATTGATCTATATCCTTGATATTTGGAAATGCAGCGCCCAAATCTATCACATTGAAGAAAGTAACATTTTCGATTTCAACTAGTTGATGCTGATTCAAGGATTGTTGACAGGATAATGGAGTTATCCTCGAACAACCTAGACTTGGTAACTGAGATTGAACTAATCTGAAATACTGATCTTTGTCAAGGCTAATTGGACAACTACATTGACCTTCTCGGCATACGCCATATTCTCCACAACTTCGAGGATATTGGCATTCTCCCAGATCTTCTCCAACCATGTCAAGAAGCTCGACTAATCCCCTATCGTTATCATGTTGGTATATCTTTAAACGCCCTTTGTTATTGAGTTTTAGAAACACGATTACTCCTTCAGATGAAGGGATGACATTATATTCACCGTAATTCCATTGAGCTCTTGTTCCCAATTTCACAAGGAGTCCTACTTGGCTGAACTCTGCAAAAACCAATTCATCGGCACTTCCCATGTTTTGAGTTGGCAACAACTTGTAATACATCAGTGGAGGACCTTGATCCACTTCAGTATATGCAGCAAAACCTAATGTCGATGATATAGTGGCATAATATTGACCCTGTGACCAGTTGGATGGTGAAGAACTTGCAGTTAATCGTTGACCCTCTTTCAGTTTCTGATCAACAAGAAGCGTATCAGTTGGATGATCAAAAGATTGCCAAACAGGGATTCCTTCATTGTTGAAGAGAATTAAATTTCCCGAACTCGAAATATTAGCACCAGCCACAGATGAAGTGTTAGTAGACCATATTTTGATGCCATCAGAATTTAGCAGAACCAAACCTTCTTCTCTTGTAAGCAGCAGTGTCGAGTTCTGCGGCACTGGATGGCCTCTATTTGCCGACCAAACTACACTGAGATCATTTTCACCAGCAACAACAACTGAGAACAAGTAATAGTTACAAGTATCAATGCAGTAGAATCCACACATAACAGCAAGACTCTTTTCACTCGTTTGTCTTAAAAGTACTGTGCTTGTTTTCGATCCATCACTACCTTGATATCTCACACTAAGGTAATCATTAAGCCATGTTATCGATTGCACAGTTGAGTTAAGGTAGAACAGGCTGGGCGATCCTCGAGGATTTGTTAAATTGAGTTGAGCATAGCAGAGAGCGAGAAGGGAAGAGAGAAAGAGAGACAAAATGGAATAGGCCATTTGTTTCATGTTTAATAATGTCTAAACCTTTGATTGTAGTTAAGAGGATAATTGCGCGGGGGTATGCGAATTGACGATCATGTGAGGACAATTGCACGGCGTAATCATCGTGCTCGAACAGGGATTTGAAACCAAATCTCTTCTTAGCAGCACATGCAGATTTCATCCATCTCTGGTTAGCAACATCGTGTAGTTGAATTACATGTTCTCTTTTTGGGGAAAAAAAAAATGGGAATGTCAGAATGGTTGAAAATTCAGCATTATCTTGCTGTGTCAACGAACGATGTTGAGACGAAAGGTGATGGAAAATAACAACAAAAGATCATGACTTTAATAATCAACCTGATTGGAATCTTTCATACTTGCAAGACAGGCTGTATAGATTATTGAATTTAATGGTTTTATTATGGCAAATTAACAATTAAGTCAAGTCATGTAACGCCGGCCTTTTAGATTCTTGATATTACTTGGTCTCCCTTATTTTAAGGGGTAAACTACCTTAATTGTGAATGGTACCCAGACTTTATACGGTTTGCCGTTAAAAATATCTCCGAACTTTAAATCAGCATTCATTGGTCCCTTAAATTTACCAAAAACGAATACCATCCAAAATTACTAAAAGACATGCAACGTGGACTGGATTGATGATGTGACATTCTATCTTGACATTATTTTGACACCTAATGTGCCAATAAGGATAAAATCATACCGTTCTTCTAAAGTCCTTGCACGCTTCAAATGCAATAAAAACACTATTTTCCTTCAGAAAAATGTCACTACTTTATCCATGTTGGCATATTAGGTGTCAAAATAACAACAGATGGGATGCCACATCATCTTTCCATTATTCACGTATCATGTTTGGGGAACTTTTTTCTTTTTGGTACTATCAAAGGTCATGATATAAAGTTAAGGGACTAAAGGAGTCTTAGATTTAAAGTTTGGTATGTTATTCGACACGATGTAAGAGACCATTTAGGTATTTATAACTAACCAAACTATCTTTATGTTTAGGAGTTTTTCCATTTGTACAGAGGATAGAACCTCTCCAGAATACTTGCATAGGTGGGCCTCATGTGAGTATAATACTACAAAAAAAATACTCACCCACTTCCTTATTGTGTGTGCTCTAGAGGGTTTTGCCTATGTACAAATTTTCTCTACGTAATTAAGAACATATATGTAAAGAGCTGATTATTCAGAATGAGTAGTGATGCAGGAAAATAATTGAAGGGATATGATCTATAGAGGAAGTACAGAATAAATTCGAGGGAATGGATGAAGAAAATGGTATGCGTGGCATTTTCCTAGCAGTAGATTTATCTCTTATATTTTAATTGTGCAAGGTTTTTTTCCTATTAGGAATTACGAATTTTGTGTTAGATTTTTTTTCTCATTTTTTTAAAAATAATTTGGAATTTTAGTCAAAATAGAGATTCTATTGCTTGTTCTTTGGTTTATCTTTTTTGTGGCATGTTTCTTTGGATGTTGACTTGAGAATAACAAATGAATTGCTTCTATAATGTGTAAATATTAGCTGGTTTAAGCGCGTTGCGCTTAATTATTGTGCACTCCAATATAATACATCTTTGAACATTTCGTGGCTGTCAACAAATACATAATATTTTAAGCCCTTGTTCGGTTCGCATTCTTTGAAAAAAAAAAAAAAAAATCATTCTTAAACAGTGTTTTAATATCATTTCAACCACACATTCTTCTATAAAATAATATTATACATAAATTCAAAACTTTTCCTTATGTTTCAACCACATATTTCCCATCAATATACTATTCAAAATTTCATTTTTAACAAAAGAATGAGGCTCAAACAAGGGCTTAATGTCGTCGTTTTGCATTTCGTTGAATGTTTTGAGAAATTTTGATTTATTAATCATTAAGAAAAAATTTACGATGGCACGGGTAAAAATGCAGTTGGTCACTAGATTGTAAGTGAAGTTTTATTTTATTCACTCAATTTCGATTTAATTTAATTTCATCACCCAACTTTTATATTCATTTCAAATTCAGCAATTCGTTATACGTAGTTCGCTAACCCGATGGATTTTATGTTTTGGCAGATGCAAAATTACACACATCATCTTTTATACACTAAATCGTGACTCGACAAAATCACACCTTTTAAAGGTATATTAAAATTAAAACCTGAGTCATTGGACTTTTTCACGTATTCCAAATTCATCCTTGAACTAAAAATATGTTCCAAGTTAATCACCGAACTTTAATATTCATTTCCAACTTGTCCTTCCATCGACATCCCTGGACAAATACTAGCGGGTTTGGTCAACCCTTGTAGATGGAAGGATGAATGGGAAACACATAAAAGTAAGACTAATTTGAAATATTTTTTAGTTCGATGATAAATTTGAAACACGTGTACAAGCATTCAAGAACATCAGTTTATCATTCATAACATTGAAATGAACGTAGTGCAATACGAACTATAAAACTAGTGAACTGGAAGAATAGCTGACGAAAAGCTTCCAAGAAGAACTGTACAAGTGAAATACTCCGAAGGCATAATGAAAGTTGTGAAACTCTAATCCTCATGAATGACCGTGTTGCTTATAAACTTAAAATGAATGTTTGATATGTTTGACTCTATAATATTAAATAAGATTAAGAACAAAAAGATGCATTGTACTAACTAGACATATTATAATGGAATGTTTAGTATGTTGAACTAGAAATGATAAAAGGAAAAAAACGAACATAAGATGTTTTTCCATCGTCTTGTACAGATCTGTTCAGTATATTGAGAAAAAAGCTGAGACATTAACCTTTTTACTCAAGGCAATGCACCTTCTTTTGGTAACTTAATTAACAACTACTTTTCAAACTAAGTTCAAAAATATGTTGTACAGGAGATTAATAATCAAGCTTACAGCTACTATCTTCATAGATCATTAAGCATAAATAGTATGAAATGTTTGAACTTACTCTATGGCAATAATCGGTTTTCTTACATAGAATTTTCAGTCTATCAACTGGACAGCTGCAATGGCAGGTATTTTTTCTCTCAACTTCTGAGTTAGAGCCACCCGGACTGTCATCACTCCAGCTGCCGGTCCACTAAGACGAACTTTTATAATATAATCCTCAATACGAACAAGCTCCAGTTCTCCACCACCTGTGCCGCCCAAATAAGGTCTAATCTCTGATAGAATCTGGACATTCAGTAAGATTAAGACTTAATATAGTCAAGATAAAAACACCTAAAGGACCATAAGCATTTGTATAACATTTTTGTTTGTGAGATACAACGAGAAAGGGCTTATATATAGAGTCATAAATAACTATACCAAAATTCCTGGCTATTTCGATAAGGCTAAGGAAATTCATAAAATTCCATTCAAGATCAGAATCTCAAAAGTCAGAAGGAAAAATACGGTAATTTTCAGCCCGGGGGGCTTCCTCAATTCAGTAAACAAACGTAGGATGCAATTATGCATTAAAAAATTGTTTTCCGTTAAGGCATTTCTTTTAGTACCTTAGCACTCTCTCTCCTCCCGTAAAAAGGGGAAAAGTATTTCAAATTTACTTGCCACAAAGTAGCATGCCCCTTTAGGGAGAGTTCATCCATTACCTTCTCTACATTTTCCTCATTCAACTCGAGCCCTGTTTCCGTGTCAAGAATCTGCTCTACTGATTCTATTTCAGGTATCTTATCCCGGAGTCGAGTTTCAATCCCCATTTTAAGCGTCATTGTTGAACTTGGACATGACCCACAAGCTCCTTGGAGCTTTAGTACTACAATAAGACCATCAATCTCATGCAGAACCACATTCCCTCCATCAGCCATTAGGCCGGGCCTTACTTCATCCAACACCTTCTCAACATTATTCTCAGTTAGTGGCAACACACAACTTGGTGAAACCACAGTTCCTAAAGTCATCAGAAAGTTCAACATTAATGCTATGCATAAATCCAAGTTTGATGCATGGTGGCATGTGTGAAAACAACGAACAATCAAACAAACACGAACAACCTTCTAAATTTTTATTGATTCTAAACATCACCAGAAAACAGGCAACAAGACTCATTAATTATAAAGAACACCAAGAATTGATGAAGAACTGAGAAAACTCAAAGTTCATTGACAATTGGGGCCAATCCTAGGCAGTTTTATTTTTATAATGCAATCAAAGTTCTGGTGCTAGAAGAAAAGCTTCAAGTTACCATAAAAGTTAAAATCTCAAGTACTGGAAACAATTCATTAACCATGAAAACATAACAAAACATGTGTGGTTGAACGAAACTGGTGTATCAACCAAGACAGGATTAAAATTTTCTTAGGGCCTCAGGATGGTCCCTGAATGGCAATTAAGTCCACTTTATGTAGGCAGCATCAAAGTATCACTAAAATTAAACAAACCTCTCTCAATTAATCCATAAATCAATGAATATAGCATGAAAAAATTCCTTTTGCATTCACAAACAACTAAAGCTTCAGATTATGCTTAAGATTTGAAGTATAAGGTAAAGATGCAATTCTAATAAATCTTTCCCAAAAGTATTAAATCGATAACCTAAAAACCAGAACAGTTCCACCAATGCTTAGAAGAACATCAGAAGAGAATAAAGACGATCAGGATTTCATACCCATCGTCACTTGAAAAATTAATCATGCACTCTTATTTAATCAAAGATATGAGTCAATTCCTTCTTGGTTATTGAGCATAGAATTAGTCAACTCTAACCAACCATTCAAGAACATTTACAATCAGTTTACCTGCATTATTTCTTAGTCGACGGGCTCTACTTAATCTAAGAAATTGGCTACTCCGATAATGGCCTCTAACAAATGAACTCTGTTTGGATGATAAAGAATCATTTTCCGAAATTGGATTCTACAAAAATAAACTGCAGGATATTATAATCCAATTGAAAGCACGCCAATAAAATGAACTCAAAATACACAGATTTATGCTGTGTGGAAGATACATTCGAATACCTGAAGGAGACACAGATTGGAAGAAGTTACCGGTTCACGTGAAAAAATGAATCTTGATGGGGGCTTGAGAAGATGGGTTTGTGTTGATAGTGCAACCATTATGCACTTTTTTCTCAGTTTTTAGGCAATTAGGAGAAATCCCATCTCTGTTGAGTAAATGTTTCATTAGGGAATGAATGAGATTTGAAGGCTTTCTTGCCCTCAAACTTGTGGATAGAGTGTGAATTTTTGCAGCAGAAATGGGATAACGCCACGTCAAGAATCCTGATTGCCCCCCTTTTATTTCTTCTCCATAATACATTTATTTTCGGAAATATTTGTTAAAAGAACCTTATGGTTCTCTATTCTAACCACTTAAAATTTTTAATAGCCCTTATTTGATCCCACCATTTTTTTGGCGATTTTGGAATAATGATTTTTTGAAAAATGTATTATTAAAAAGTATGAAAAATTTTAGATTTACGTGTATAATATTTTATTGTGTAAATATATAATTAAAAATAAGTTCTGAAAAATTAAGTTTTGAAAAATGGGGTTCAAACAAATGAATTAGCTATTTCAATCCGATTCTAGATGAGCTGCAAATGAGGATGTTGATAGACTAATTATAGCGTTTGCCACTAATTTGTGAAAATTATCAACTTAGTGCCTTTGATAATCTAAATGGAACAGCGGCACAACAGTAGCGTGCTATAGACATAATTTAGATAAATAAATTTTTCGATGGGGTGGTTCAACATGTAATATAAATATGCTTTAGATTCTGAGCTTATGAAAATTATATTGAGAAATAATTATTGCTTATGTTACTTCAGTGTCATAACTTAGGAGTTAGAACTCGTCGACATGATTAACAACGAAAACCATCCAGTATTTTAACAAATATTGTTGGAAATAATTGAGAGATGAAACAAAAGAGAAAATCACAAGAAAATATGGCAACAAGATGGACCAAAACAAAATTTATATCAACAAATGTGAAGGCTCGAACGCGGGATCGCTATCCTCAAACGTTATTTGCCCCTTTTTCGATATATTCGAGATGCTAAAAGGTATTCCGACAAATGGTTTGAAGGATTATAACAAGCCTTGTAAAGAATTTCACCAAAACACAAGATGAAATTCTCCAAAATTTGAAGAACATGAGGATATGAATATAAATCGGGATTTGATTTTTCTTGGAACAAAGTATGGATTGCAAGATATTTTTTTTTACTTCTTTCCCTCAAACGTAGCTTTCCAATATATAGTCATCGACCAGAAGTACGAAATGGTGCCAAAAAATAAGAGAAAAATCACCAAGTTCAAATTTGCAACGGTCAAAAAGGTCAAAAACGATCAAAAAATATATACATGTGGTCGCATGGTTCACCCATGCCGAGACAAAATAGGCTATGCAACCTCATGGCTATATGCCATGCGGTCGCATGGACCCCTTTTTTTAATTATTGTTGTTGGTTTTAAACAACATAATCACAACAATCCCCCACTTGTTCAAAATTAACAAGTCTCATATTCATAGTATACAATATTTATGTATAAGGATTATATATCTTTTTATTTGAATCTAACCATAGTACAATTCAAACAAAGTATAGTCGGAATCAAAGGTAACGTGTAGCTTTGAACCAGTTATTCCATATGAGAATACAGGTTAGAACACATACGAGAGTACCACGCGTTCTCAAGTTTCTCATAACTCGCTTAGCGCTTTTATGGCCTTGCGCTTATCCTTTTCAACAATTTTTTAAGAGAGAAACTCCAACTCTCTATTAAGGCGGCACCACCTTGAAGATTATTTAGGTGAAGTTCTTTCAATATCTTTATTACTTTTAGAGGTACTTGTGATTTAGCACTGAACTTCATTAAGAACTCAAAGCTCATCCCTTATTTCAGTAAGAACCAGCATTATTTTAATTAGGATATGATTATTGCGAGTTTTAATAATGCTGTAACTATCCACATATTGAATGACTTGTTTTTACCCTTTGAACTGTAAATTACCTTTTGAGTAATGACAAGTAGGGTTGCTGTCTACTTGAAGTAGATGCTACTAAATCTCTATTTAGAGATTTAGTCAAAGGATTCGCCAAATTCTCAATTGACCTTACATAATTTAAGGAAATTATTTCATCCTTAATTAATTTCCTTATATAGTTATGTCTAAGATTCATGTGTTTAGACTTTCCGTTGTATTGCTCGTTGTATGCTTTTGCTAATGTGGCTTGACTATCACACATGATAGGTATTGAAGAAATATTCTTCGATCCCAAAGGTATCTCATAAAAAAAATCCTTAAGTCACTCAGTTTCTTTCCCGGTAGTCGATGGGGCTACAAATTTCGATTCCATAGTCGAGTGTGTTATGCATGTTTGTTTCTTTGATTTCCAAGAAACAACACCTCCTCCAAGAGTGAATACCCAACCCGTAGTGGATTTACTCTCACCCGCGCTAGATATCCAACTAGCGTCGGTAAATCCTTCCAATACCGTCAGGAATTTTGTATATTGTATACCTAGGTTCTTGGTTTTCTTTAAGTATCCAAGAACTCTTCATATGACCTTCCAATGATTATTATTTGGATTGCTAGTAAACCTGCTAAGTTTACTTATAGCATAAGCTACGTCCGATCTTGTGCATTGAACTGCATACATAAGACTTCTGATTGCATTAGAATATTCCAATTGAGCAATCATCATTCCATCATTCTTTACAAGCTTTGAACTTGGATCAACCGGGGTACTATATTCTTTTATGTTCAAGTGTTTGAACTTGTTTATCACATTCTCAATATAATGTGATTGAGTTAGGTGATAACCCCCACTAGTCTTTGTGATTTTGATGCCTAAAATGGTATCCACTTGACCAAGATCCTTTATTTTGAATGTGGAAGATAGAAACTTCTTTGTTTCTTTTATAACCGTCCATGTGATTACTTATAATCAACATGTCATTAACATACAAGCATATAAATGTTACGTAATCATCACATATTTTAGTATATAACATTTATCTTCACTATTATGTTTAAATCTGTATGATATAATTGCTATGTTAAACTTCTCATGCCATTTCTTAGGAGCCTGCTTCAAACCATATAATGATTTTACTAACTTGCATACCTTACGTTCATTTTCAGGTAGAACGAACCCTTCGGGTTGCTCCATATAGACCTCCTCGTCGAGATCCCCATTAAAAGAATGCCGTCTTGACATTCATTTGATGAACATGCAAGTCATTTATTGAAGTCAATGCTAATAATATCCTAATCGATGTTATTCTAGCTACCGGTGCATAAGTGTCAAAATAGTCGATTCCTTCCTTTTGTCGATATCATTTGGCTACTAATCTAGCGTTGAAAGTACTTAGAGAACCATTGACATTATATTTTCTTTTAAGTACCCATTTACATCCAATAGGTTTGGATCCTGGTGGTAAATCGACAAGTTCCCAAGTTTTATTAGACGTTATCGAATCCATTTCATCTTTAATGCATCTTTCCAAAAAATACTATCACGAGAAGCCATACCTTTTTATAGGTTTTAGGGTCAGTTTTCACTTATAAAACAAAAGGAATTGTTCTAACAACATTCAACTCATTTCCTTCTACTAAGTAAAAGGAGATAAGTTGAGATTCAATTTCATCCAGTCCCAAAAACTTCTCAACTCGAGTTCTCTTGCTTCTTCGTGGTTCACTAGACTCATCAACATCTTTAGAAGACATTTCATCACGTGTTCTACTTGAGTTAGGGATACTTTCATGATTTTCCCTCAATTCATTATCCGAAGATAACGAATCTTCAAAGAACTCTACATTGCTTGATTCGATAATCACATTGGTCTCCAAGTTTAACAATCTATAAGATTTGCTATGGTTAGCATATCCAACGAAGGCACATTTAATGTCTCTTGGATCCAATTTGGTCCTATTAGGATTTGTGTTCTTGCAATAAGCAAGACACCTTCACACTTTGAAGTATCCAATGTTTGGTTTTCTTCCTTTCCACAATTCATAAGGAGAAACTTTTGTATATTTAGAATGAATCCTATTAAGTATCCTACATGCACTTAATAAAACTTCACCCCATAAATTAAATGGTAATTTAGCATATATAAGCATGGCATTAATCATTTATACTAAAGTTCTATTCTTTCTTTCAGTCAAACTATTTTGTTCGGATGTTTTAGGTGCAGAACATTGGTGAATTATACCATGTTGTTCATAATATAAATTAAATTCACTAGATAAGTATTCGTCACCTTTATCACTTCTTAGGGTCTTTATTTTCTTTCCTAGATGATTTTCGACTTCATTTTTATACACCTTAAATATGTCAAAAGTTTCATATTTATGTTTCATCAAGTATACATATGTATATCTAAAAAAATCATCAATAAAAGTAATGAAGTATCTATTTCCACCTCTAGTTAACATGCCATTTAATTCACATATATCTGTTTGAATTAATTTCAAGATATTAGAGGTCATTTTCACACTTTGATATGGCTTTTTAGTCATTTTTTATTCTATCCATGTTTTGCATTTATGTTCATTATTGCCATCATATGAAATCAAATCACATTTATTCATACGTTTCGTAGTACGTTTACCAATATGTCCTAATCTTGAATGCCATAATGAAAATAGATCAACAATATAAGTGAAATTAGTTTTATTCATTTTCTTGTCAACGGTACAAAGTTTGACCATTCCTTCACTTGAATAGCATTTTACAACAAATTTTCCATTAAGGGAGAGTATAAGCTTATCGAATTCATACACACATTCGATACCCGATTTTCCTAAGAGATTATCACTTACTAAGTTCTTATTCATATCTGGAACATATAGTACAAAAGGGTAACGATTTTTCCTAAAGCGAAGATGATATCAACATTTTCCTTTCCAATAACCTTGGATCGAACTTCGTTGCCCATTTGAATCTTTTAGTCTCCATCCACCTCATGATATGTTTTGAATACAATTTTGTCATATGATACATGTACAATAGCACAACTATCATACCACCATCCAGGAACATTTCCCTTGATTGCATTTATTTCGCTTACGGTGGCCACAATTTTATCTTCTTGGATGGAGTTCACTTTGCCCTCGAAGCTGTTTTGTTTTCAGTGTCTACAATCTTTTGCATAATGTCCAGATTTTCCACACACAAAACACCCTCCTTTGATTTTTTTCTTGGACTTGTTAAAGTTCCTCGAAGGCTTCCTCTTATTGGATTTTATCGGCGGTTCAAAAT